CAAGTGCACGCATTTTTGGGCATACCCTTTGCCCAAGCACCCATAGGGGAACTTCGTTTTTCCGCTCCAAAGCCCATAGGAACCAAAATCTTCACCGGTCTTGTGAATGCCACTAAATTGCCAAACTCTTGCTGGCAGTACATTCCCGGCTCATTTGATAAAGCCAATCCTGGGGCTCGCGTCTGGTTGAACAATACTCAGATGAGCGAGGATTGCCTTTACCTCAACGTCTGGAAACCGGCCGGTAAACCAACAGCTAAATTACCCGTTATGGTATGGATATTTGGTGGTGGCTTCTTCAGTGGGACTTCCACACTGGACGTGTACAATGGCCTCCAGTTAGCCGCCCGGGAGAATGTGATTGTGGTTTCCATGCAATACCGCCTGCTTGCCTTTGGGTTTCTCTACCTGGGCCCTGGGTCCAGGGCCGCCAATGGAAATATGGGTCTGTTGGACCAACAGCTGGCGCTGCGGTGGGTGCACGATAATATTGCCAGCTTTGGCGGTGACCCCGACAGTGTAACCATTTTTGGAGAATCGGCAGGTGCGGCGAGTGTGGGACTGCATTACCTGGCGCCCGCATCAAGACCCCTGTTCTCTCGAATGATTATACAAAGTTCCAGTTGCCTCAATCGTTGGGCTTTGATTCCTCCGAGCACTGCACTTGAGAGAAGCAGAGCCGTGAGTCTGTGCTTGTATGTTACGCAGGTTCTAGTGAACAGGCGTTTCCTTCTCCTTCTTCCTTTCACCAAAAGGGCACTAATTTCCTAACTTGCGACTTTCAAACTTGTCAGTTTATTCAGTTAACTAAATTTTTAAAAAATCGTAGCCTCGGTAGAATTACAACTCACACAGTAGGCACGCTTTAGTACGGATAATGCCCTACAATGCAGCTACAAAGGCATGCCGAAGCTCTGTTATTAATCACTTTGGGGTCAAATTAACCGCTCAACCTACTGCTCGTATGGAATTCTGCATTAAAAGAACCTAGAAGTCAATCCGGTGGATTCTAGATTAAATTCTGTCTGGGCAGTCAGATTACTATATCCGTAATGGGGGATTCTCTAAGTGCAGTAGGCTGGGCGGGTAAATCGACCCAAGTGTGATTAAATGCAGTGACCTCGGTGTGCCTTTGTAACTCAGTTGATAGAGCCTTGGCGGCAACAGTAACTTATGTAGCCCCAATCATTAATCCCTACATCCTGCAGGTTTTCCGACGAAAACGGTGGTTATGGGCGGGAAATCAGAACGCGCAGTGGAATATACTTTAATAAATGCTAAATTTATTTTTATTTTACTGTCTTTAAAAGTGTTATTGATTTATATCAGCAGATTTTCCTAATCCGTATTATCAATAAACTTATTGCAGGAAAACCCAATTATTAAATTGACAGGTTTTTGAATTTCCCGGAAAATGAAATGGTGGTTAGGAGGTCGTCTACTTCAACTAACCTGTGGTCCAACTTACCGTTCTCGACTTAGATTAGTATAGTCCGCGGCGCGTAGCGCCGCGCACACCTTCAATTTACATGTGGAACAACCTGCTCCCAGCGCCGCAGGAAGCAACTTCGAGTACATTTTTCACTTTACACTTACTTCTAAAAATTTCTTTTCTGCCTATCCTATTTCCCCACCCCACGAAACTCTATAAGCACCGTTTTTACAGGACAAAATGCTGGGAGTTGGGGTATATGAGTGGGGCTACATAAGCTACTTTTGCCACCTTGGCTGCAATAAAAACCTTCAAACCCCGCTGAGGCCAAACATTTTTTCACAATTGGGTCAATTAAATTATTAAAATCTGCCATACCCTCTGCTAATAATTGTCAGTTTATGTCTTCTTGAGAGGGATATGAAAAGTCAAAAAGGCCACAACGTACCCTTAAAGGGTATCGGTCAGAGGACAGGCACACACAGAACGGTTCCCCATAGGCTGTAATATGTTTTGGTAACTATGCAAGGTATCAGAATAGTTAACCATCCGTAGAAATAGAGATAGACTCCAAAGCAGGGTGAACCTGTGAGTCTAATAAAATAGCACAACAGATATTTTGAATGACAGCTTTCAGAACGTTGAATACTATATATCCCAGTTACATCTAATTAGCAGCGTTTGGCCTTTTCGAAAATAAATAGGTACTAATGCCACTGTTTTGCTGAAAATTCTTACTTATATGAGACGAAAAGTTGAAAAAAAAACACAATATAATTAATTAGTTCCTTCGAAGTTTAAGAAAATACATATTTCTAATTTAAGGGTACGGTAAGGTAAACATATATAAAAATTGTCTTTAAATTTTCCTATTTGTGCACTGCGGTGAAATAATCAGTCTATAAGAACCAATTGATACATTTAATTAGGTCCTAGAAAATGTTTTATCGCAACTAACGTGACTAACACTTTTACAGTTTTTGTTTAGCATTCTTGTGAACAAAAATTAAGATAAATAGTATAACGATCGCCGGCCAAACAATTAAATGTAATTTGCATTATTTCATAGATTGTCTGCTTAAGGCCTTCAGGTCCTACATTTGATACAGGTACTCCTCGAACTTAGAATACTTTATCTACATTTTAGAGCTGGTGATCGTTTGTTACTTATTATGGATTCGCGTAAAAACATACATGAACATATGCCTGTAAAGTGAACTATCAAAGTAACTTTGCATAATCTAAAAACCACATTATATTTACACGAAAATAGCCAAACGTATCAGAACAGTTTTACTACTCTGTTCCATGCACTGTGAGCTGTAGAACACCATAAAGTAAACAGGTCAAAACATTGCCGACAATGGCTAGGGCAGCTGAAACGGTCTTTTCTAGCTCGCTAGCTGTCACCGTCCAGTCATACGCAATCTCGGGCGATGCATCACCCGAGCCTCGACCCGGTGACTTTTTAATCAGAAGTGCGAAACTCTAACAACTGGGCCACTGGCCCGTTGTTTGGTCGGTTTAGATCGAGACCCGTTTCTGCTACCGTTTTCTGGTAAGGTTTCTGATGATGAATCCACGACGGATGTCGAAACGTCAGGCAAATAAAGTACTGTCCCGGCAATCGAGTCATCTTCTTCTCAGATCGACAGTATTGACATTAATTGATTAACACTCACCAATCACTACCGGAGCTCACTCGTCCCGTTCGGCCTTAGAGCTCACCCTTAAGTCCTGCTAACAGCCGTACAGCGGCTAGTAGTTTAGGCGTATGAACATTGCCGGCAAAGTTAACGGAAACTGCGGTGACCAGTTCTGGCTCATTAGCTATAAGTAGCTAGTGAGCTAGTCTTTCAGGTAAAGTTTGAAGATTAATAGTTTAAGGTAAACGTAATCCATGTCAATTTTAAGATAAATTCAGGTTTACAAAAGTAAACTTCAAACGATACTGCCAATAAAGCCTAGTTATGATACAGCGGCTTCAGATTCACTTGTCCTTCACGAGCAATCTTTATGTCGGATGCCGGAGAGCTCATTATTCCCCTTAACAGAATCCAACGCTAGCAGTGAACATTGGATTCCCGTTTGGTATATCAAAAGAATATTTTTTTACGGGGAGAGCTTTTTAGTAGAGTTTTGACATTACAATGATTGTGTCGTCCACCCATCCTCAGAGGCTGGACATTCGCGCTCACGGCTCTCTTTATATGTAGCTATTTTCCATGAATGTCCCTACCAACACTGGTTCAGCCGCCGCATGTGAATTACAGCAGCCGCGGCCTTGCCCCTAGTTGACCGTCCAAAGTGTTGCTTCTGCCGCCGTGTTGTCATTGTTTGTTTCATCTCCGCGCTCGTTGGCCGTCTGTTATGTCACGTCGAAACGCGTCTCATCATGACTTTTTTCGCGCCCGCACACGTTGGCGGCAGAGATAGTTAGTTGTCCCGATTGTTGCACGCCAAATATCTCTGCGGCCAATGTGTACGGACGTGAGACAAGCCGTCATGAGACGCGAAACGACGTGAAACAACAGATGGCCAACGCGCGTGGAGCATCTCCATCTTCCAGGCTCTTATCTTTATTCCTTTCGCATGGATATACACGAATTTTTATCTGAGCTCACACTTTTCTAACAATTTGACGTCAGATGCCCCTATAAGCTATTCTAACTCTTTGCGTCGTATTTTCCCACAACTCATTTGTTCGTTTATAAGTTTTACGGATGTCGATATGATAATTTTAATTTATAAAAAAATACATTTTGCCTAACGGAACTGCGTTTAAGATCTCCAGCATAATAGGAAATTCCACTCTCGTCTATGCATGCTGGCTGTATTTTAGACATACATTACTATGCATGAACCGTGTGTCGAAGTATGTGCAAAGATTGCATGTTATTTGGTCAAGTGGTTAAAATTCCGGTGAGCTCTTGCCAAATCTCCACTAACAGCTGTCCTGTCAATCAACTTAAAGGAACGAAATTTCTCATGCTTGCATTGCTTTGCATTCCACCTTACGCAGTGCATACCATTCCCGTTCTTTACGCCAAGCAAGTCTTATTACTTGTACTTTATGGAAGAAACTGCAACAGCTGCTGTTTACATTGTAGCAGCGGTCGTTATTGTGTGGCTGTTTACAGGTGGATAGACTTATTTTTGGTGTTACCTGATGGTTGCGTTTTGGAATGCATTTCTGCCCAATATGAAACCACAATCCGCACACGTATTGAATAGTAGTCCTTCTTTATAATTTGGGTTTTCAGGACCAACGGTGCACGATGTGTGTTCAGCTCATCATAGCTGGGACTTCGTGTAAACGTATAACTGTTATTATTTACGTCAGTAAGGACTAAAGCTTTAGAGACTCCCTGGATTTATTAGTATAGTAAAGTAGATTTTAGGATCTGAATGAAACAAAGGAGGTTCATAGGAGACTGGTTTTATATATAAATGATTCTATTTTGATGCTTGCGCTCCAATCCTATTCAAACACAGTTTGTTTAATTTTACACTTATCCTTAAATAATCCGTCATTTTATCCTGTTTTCATCAAATAAACTTCCACTTTAAACAACACCATTCCTTTTATTTGCTTTGCTGCTTTGCGTAGACGTTTATAATAGATCGATTTAAGGCGTTTCCAAATGTCAAGGTTTGTCGTAAACCCTTTCGGGGCTAAATGGGGCTAGAACCTATCCCATAAATTAATCTCCACCTTGGCGTACATCAGTATATTTTACGGTCTGTAGCTGAAGACCGAGATTTAGTACAAGTATTTTGGCCGACGTGCATAAGCCACGTACTATTCCTTAAATTGCCAGCCTTCAGCTCGTATAGGGTGTCTCAAAATTATTTGCACCTTCTAAAAGTCAGATGGTTTCTTTAAAATTATACATTCAGCAATAATTTTATGTCTTCCTCAATTCCATTCGTTGATGATTTTTTTGTAAACAAAGTTTTTACACGATTTATACTGTATAGTACAGTAATACAAATATAATAGAACCGAATAAACCTGTAAAAAAGCAGTCTCTGAGATCCTGATGCCGCGAAGCTCGGAAAACACAGGTCGATCTAAAGGTATGGTAGACGCCGGAGTGACGCGAGTGGGTATTGCTAAAGCTGTAGGTCTATCTATCAGGGTGGTCAAATATTTGTGGGCATAGTACAATCGGAAAGGTACCGTCACAAAGCAGAACTCTGGAAGAACAGAATATTAGGGGAGAGTTGAAAAGATCGTTATTGCAACATCCATTGGTAAATCAAGGCAAAGGACAAGGAAACTCGCAAAGTAACTGAATGCTAAATGCCTGAATGGTTCTGAGTCCAGTGTGCACCAGTATTTGCATGAAAGTGTGGCTGTTATCGACGAAATATCCCTAGACCAACGGAAAAATAAAACCATGATAGGATGATTTTCTGTCAGACGGCCAGGGGGTGGACGGAAGAAGATTAGAAACAAGTTGTCTTCTCCAATAAATCGCCGTACGAACTGTTCCCTCCGCCGAACAAAAGGAGTGACTTTATTTGGGCTCCAATTCGGAACATGGCTGAAACTGTTGAGGCTCCTAAGTTTAGCCTTACAGTCCTGGTGTGGGGAGTAATGTCCTTTGGAACGCTCTCTGACCTCCAGATTCTACTCCAGGGTCAACGAGGGACTGTGGAATATTAAAATGAGGAGATCCTAAAGTAAAACCTGTTTAAAAGATTATGAAAAATCGTGTGAGCAGGTCAAAAGTTGAGACGAATCTTGTTTCGAACAAAGCCATAGCTCATACAGCTCTGCGGACTATGAGACCGCTGTCAGAGAAAATTCCACATTTCTGCAGGAAACACATGTGGCCAGTAAATAGTCCTGACTTGAATCCAATTGAAAATCTATGGTCAATTCTTGGTAAGATGGTTGACGAGAAACTGCCTGCTCCTACCACCTTTGCTGGATAGGAGAGATCTCTGCTGAACGTCTGGAGAAAGATCGTCTTGCAGACCCTTTACAATCGCATTCCTTCGATGCTAATTAAGGTAGAAGCTGTCCTAAAGGTCAAAGGAGAAGTTTCTGTAAAATAAATTGTGTAATTGAGAAGAAGATGACTCGATCGCTGGGGCAGTACTTTTACTCGCCTGAGGTTTCAAGATCCGTCGCGGATTCGTCATCAAAGATATAATAAGATAGCAGTAGTGGATATGGGTAGCGTATGCACAAGGCAGTATTTATAGGATACAGTCATTACTGCAAACATACAACGACAATTAACGCTAATTGCCTTCTTGAGTGTTGCTGGTCTGTTGAACGGCATGCGGGCTCTGACCTGCTGACATTTCATCACGCGTGGTGGGCTCCGGCGCAATAATTGCTTGGCCATCTGGCCCTCCAGTACTGGCGTAGGGTGACGCGGTGGCCTGTCCGTTTCCCAAGTGGCGACTTGCTTGGGCCAAATTGAGTCTCAGCTTGTATTGGCAAATTGTGAAATATATACAACTTTAGAAATTTTGAGGGGTTGTTAGGGTGCAGAAAATTTCGAGACGCCCTATAATATATACTGGGGTTGCAGAATACACCATATTTGCAGCATAGGTAATGACCAAAAGCTCAGATATGTGTGTCACCGATATTCGGCCACTGCATGGCACAGCTTCGAGAAGTTCGAGTAGTTAGTGGGTCTTCAGTATTCTGGTAGAGAATCCAGTTTTTAAATTGTGGTTTTCTTTACTTTCCTTAGAAAGTAATCTCTACCTTAAAGTAACTCAGCATATTTTGTGGTATGTACGCACAGACCGCAATGTGATATTATAGGTGGCGTTGTTTGAGAATGAAACAGTTGAATTTGCCAAAAAAGACCAATAAATGAATAACTGTCTTAGCCGTTTTTTTAATTTTACTGATGAAAACTC